CCCCCAAGCCGTTGGCGCCGAACGCCGCCGCCTCGGACCCGGAGCCGTAGGCGACGCCGGACTGGCCGTAGACCGGCGCGGAGGCTGCGGGAGCGGCGTTGAAGTCGTACGCGCCACCCTCGGGATAGTTGTACACGGCGGGCTTGCTGCTGTCCACGTATACCTCGCCCAGGGGCCGCTCCAGGGGGATCTTGAGCTGCGGGCGGTTCAGGGTCTCCAGCTCGGTCCCTTGGATTTGATGCAGCAGGGCCATTCCGGACGCTTTGGTGTGGAGGGTCATGGTCATGGTCAGTGGCCGCGGGCAAGGCGCGCACCGTCTCCCCGCGCGGCAGAGGGCTCAGCAGCCGACCGGCCACCTGGAAGAAGAGCACAGCCCGCTGTTAGAGGTGGCGCAGCGCATGTCCCGCCACGGAACGAGTTCTGGCCCTGCCTCGGGAGCCGGCCGGTCCCGTGGAGCGCGGCGGCCAGACGCGATCAAGTGCAGCCGGGCGCGAGTGCGCTCAGCCAACTCCCGGGCTCGGAGTCTCCAACTTTAAGTACCGATCTCCCGCGCTCATATGCATTACAAAGGTACTGGAAGCCGGCCAGGGGCTGTTGCCTTGCACTGACATTGGTTTAAACATCACTCCAGGCGCAACTCGTTTTGGAGCGATCCCAAAAAGCAGCTTCCCTGAACTTTACTTTACTCGTCGCTGCTGGATGGAGGCTAAATTTCACTGCCGGAGGGCGGGGGCGCAGAGGGATCTCCTAAAGGTGGCCCGGGGAAGACGAGGTTTAAAACAAACTCGCAAGACTCATCCAGGGGCCGGCTTTCTCCACCGTGCTGCCTTATGTGCCCCATGCCAGACTCCTATCTATCTCTGTTTGTCTCTCCTTCTGTTTGATTCACTCTCCTAGTTGGCTGGAAATATGTAGTGTGTACATAGAATGACCCTGGGGAGGACCACTCTGTTACTGAGATAGGGCAGATAGAATGGGGTGCTCAGTTGCATGTGCAACCAGCCACAGACAGCTATATTTGGCAGCTGCAGGGACTGAGAGGAGACATCTGGGGAGAAGGGGGGGCGAAGATTCAAGGTGTACCTATAGGAATGAGCTGCACTTTGCCAGCAGCAGAATGGTGCCAGACCTGTTTCCTCAGCGGCAAAACTCCCCCCAAGTGGTCCCTTCCAGCCACGACCTTCTGAGATGCTCCCAGCCTGACTTGTATGTTTGTGTTGGACCACAGTACTGTACTTGCTCCCATTATGAATTCTCATGTGAATGATGATTCACAAAAACCTTTGGTTAGGCACACATGGGTGTTCGCGTCTTCCACAGGTTATGCAACCAAAACTTCAGAAAGCTAAATATGAAATGTGACCTTTTCAGACGAAATGTAACCTCAGTTCATTAACCGAATCTTTGGCCACTATGTTACACTGTTGGTCTAACCAACAAATTTTGAAATGCAATGCTCCATTTCTGTTCTTTATTCCTGCGGTTCGACCTGCTCCATTTACTTCACTCTGATATGCAGAATCAAATATTCAGATGAAAAAGGAATAGAAAAAAGTTTTGAACTGAATTAAAATCTAAGCATACACACACAAACAATGTATGTATGTATGCACACACACGAGATATGGTAAATCTACTGTGCACCCACAGTCCCGGAGAGTTTATACTTTTGAATAAACTTCCTTTGCCCCAGCCTAAAAGACTCTGATACAACTATCTGATATGACCATTAATGCTTTGCTTTAATTGCTATCCCAAACACCCAACAGAGTACCTAACAAAATGTTCGTGACACATATAAATGCCACGGTTGCTGTTACTAACAGTAATTTCTTAAAATTTTTTTATACTAATAAGTATACATTTTACCTAGTTCTTATAAGAACAAACAGACCATTTTTGGATACTATGCAGATGTAGTTGGTTTAATATGAAGACAAAATTGAGCTTAGCATCAATAACCATAGATTGTAAGCAAAGAAAGGGTTAAAACACATTAGGTGAATCACAGATATTTCTCTTTATGGCCAGCAACCATCACTTTCCAAAGCAATTTTTTACAGATGATTTCGTTTCCATAAATCACACTTTCAATTTTCAAATGTCTTTTTTAAACACATGCAAAAGCCCTTCATGGGGCTCTTAAAAACCTGCACCCGCCAAATTACACATAAATTACACAAAGAATCCTACAAGTCCTGGAAGAAAAAGGAGATGCACACATAAACCCATTGAAAATAACAAATCCTCATCTCCCTGCTAGGATACAGACACTGGCCAGAAAGGTAAGTTGCTTTCTCAAAATGCTAAAGCTACAGAGAAATCAAAACAATCCTACCCTGCTGGATCAAGAGCGTCTTTCCAGAAATGTTCCATGGGCTTGTAGTAGTCGAGGGCTGAGGCAGGGAGAAGGAAGGAAGGAATGTGCTCGCGTGTGCGTGTAGCTCCGTGTGTGAGCGAGGCAGAGCGTGTGTGGATGTGTTTGTGTGTGGAATGGCAGGGATGCGGGAAGCAGCCAGTAGGCAGGGCACTTGGCAGCCCCTCCCGGCAAACACAGCAGCTGGGCTGCTGCGTGGAGCTGGATGAATGGCAGTGGGGAGTGAGGAGAAGCTTGCTCTCTGCTCAGGGAGAGCCGAGTGGTACAGCTAGAGTGATTGTTACTGGGGAGAAACAAAACCCCAGCCCCATTTGCTCCTTATCCTTGGAGCCTGGAAAGTGCCCCATGATTTCTGCTGCCACCCTAAGCAAGAGGGAAAACAGGCTTGCTGTAAATCATAAGCTTATGGCTAAAATAGAATGCCAGTCAAAAGTGTATGGATATCAAGTTTACAAAATGTGACATGGGCGGTTTATCCTGAAGAATATAATTTAACAATAAAAGCCTTCTGGGATACACTTGGATCAAATGCCTTGCTGGCCCCAGTGGGTCCCCCCTCCCCAAGTCTCTGAACAGACACACTATTGCCGTGCCTCCGATTGCACCAGGAAACCAGACTTTGGAATAAATGTTTTGGCATTCTAGGGATGTGTTTCCAGCTGAAATGCAATACTCCTCCACCTCGTTAACCAAACCCACAAACCTTTCCACGAATAGCTCAGTTGACTGCTTTCTGTAAACATACAGAAAAAAATTTATTATTAAAAGCCTGGGGTATAAAGATAAGACAAAGGTGGGTACCTCCGTTTTAAACAGATATTAGGCTTTCTAGTTGTGCTGGCGTTGGTCACGGAGAGTGGGGGGGTCTCTCATTTCACAGTGGTGCCCTGGATGGATCCACCTGGTCCTCAACTTTTCTCCCAACCATGGTACTAACACACAATAATAAGGTGCTCCGTTTTTGCCCTCACCCAAGGTCCCAGGACACGTGACACCTAGTGGAACCCTTGTTACCAGATTTTAGTCATGGCCTTGGGTATTAAATGACTCCAATCACAATGCCAGGAGCGGCCAGTCTCTGGCCCTGGGACCCTATGCAGTTACCAAGATATAATGAGTGGCTCTCCAGAATGGTACAGAGAAAGAAGTAAAAAGTTATATAGAAAAGAATTAATGTTGTCATATTGCAAATATACATTTCATGCTTTCAAAGACCCCAAACATTGCAATATTGGAGCAGAGAAGGGCTCCCTCCACAATCGGCTGTAAAGACAAATATTGAAAGGACAGTTACCCTTTGTAGGTGACAGTGGTGAATCCTAACTCCTCCTTAGGTCAACAGTGGCCACCCATGCACTAGGCCAGTCCAAAAATGTGGATGTGCAGGACGGAAGAAGGGAAGGCAGGAGAGGGGAAAAAAGAAGGAAGAAAGAAGGAGAAACAAAGGAGACTCTGTAAATAATCTTCATAGACATTGATTATTCTGAGACCAGCAGTCAAGGTTAGTCCACTAAAGACAGTTTTCTTGAATGCTTTCTCTCCAGCATTCTCTTCCCTCTTTCTGGTCAGATTCATCTCCCAGGCTTGGGGACAAGGCTGGGAGAGGTACTGCACCTTGCCAGTTTTCCTTTACTGCTTCTGGCAAACAACCCCCCACCCTGCCCCATGCAGTGGGCTCCCAGCTCTCCCCTCGCCCCTCTCCACGTGGTCACAGGGCACGTGCTCCCCCCACTGCCACGACTGCGGGCACTGGGAGGTGAAAAAGGGTCGGATGTCTCTCTCTCTAGTTCCAGCACTGAGTGGACCCCCGGACCCACTTTTCCAGTGTCTCCTGGGCATTTCTGGCTGGCTCAAAATGTGAGTCATCATTCCCTCTCCCACAAACATGACGAGTCTTTCAACTCTGGGCTATGAACAGCATCACTGTCCCTCTGGTCGCGGTTGCTGGATGACAGTCTCTCAGTCTTCTGAGCCAGCTGTCTGCCCTCCCTGCCCACTGCTGAGCATTCTAGATGTGCTCCCTCTCCCTGTTCCTCCACTGTTTCCATCAGGCTTCTTCAGCCCGCATTACCTGACTTGTTGTAAGAGCCTCCTAGGGACCTGTCTGCCTCTTTCTTCCCCTACTTCTTAAATCCTGCTGCTTTTTAGCTCCTGGGTTCTTATTGCTCCAGGATCCATCTTCTGATGACCCGCTTCTACCTTTTCCCCAGATCATAGCTCTCCCAGGGGTTCAGGTCTTCCTCCTGCCCCCGTATCTCCTCCCACCTGTAGCCCCGTGTTGCAGCCAAAACAAAACGCCGGAGCTCTGCGCACTCACAGCCTTCCTGATGACATTCTCTCTGCCTACAACCCCTGCTTGGCTGGCTTGTCAGGGGCAAGCACACTCTTTTTCAAGGTCCAGCCCAAATGCCACCACATCCATAATGTCTTCCTTTATTCCCTTTTTAAAAGGAATTTCCTCTCCACTGAACGCCAGTGGTGTTCTCATGCATTTATTACATTCTTCCTTGAATGAGTTATTAATATACTTTTTAATCCCCTTGTCCTGCTCAGAAGCTCCTTCAGAACAAGGCCTGCATAGAGTTATTTGGGAACTCACTGAGTGCCTAGCACTGTGCCTGGTCATATCAGGTCATCAAATATTGGCTAATTTATTAATCCAGATACTTAGAAGAATAAAATAGGATCACATCTATCTGATAACTATCTCTAAGAGCTAACTTTCCATGTAACATTCTACCATTTTCAAAAGTGCTTTTGCTAAAAGATTATCTTTGTATCCTCATACCGACTGAGGCCATAAAGTCAAAATTCAAATTCATACAATCTTGAAGATTAAGCCTGCAATTCTTGGCAGCATGACTCACAAGAGAGCTCTGAATTTTTAGTTCGTAACCAGATAATACTATGACCAAACATAGTTTCTTCTCTAGCTCCATTAAAAGCTTTTTACATTTACAAAAACATTATTCCTCCAACAGAAACATGAAAGGAAATAAACGTGGAATTATTTCCAAAACAGCTTATGCTACTAGAGATGGTTCCTTCACTCCAAAACATGAAGGTCTAGCTGTGTCTAAACTGATCATTATTTTGATTAAAAATTCTCTGTTTGGGGGTGCACCTAGGTGGCTCAGTCAGTTAAGCGTCCCAACTCTTGATTTCAGCTCAGGTCATGATCTCAGAGTGGTGAGATCGAGCCCCACATCGGGTTCCCTGCTGGGTGTGGAGCCTGCTTGGGATTCTCTCTCTCCCTCTCCTGCTGTTTCTCCCCCTCTACTTGTGTGTGCACACGCGCCTGTTCTCTCTCTAAAAAAAAATTAAAATGCTCCATTTGGGAGCTTGTCTTTGTGCATTTATTTGACACCATCCATTTTCCTCCAAAGTAAGAGAAAAATGAAGAATTTCCTTTTAAGTTTTGCTCATTTTAAAAATAATTCAGCCTATTTGTTTTAAGGGTTTTTGATTAGCTCCTAGACTTTTTTCAACTGACCTTTGATTTTTGTTTTATGAGGAGAAACTTACATGCAGTGAAATGCACATATCTTAACTTATACAGTTGGTGAGTTTAGATATGCCCTTGTAACAACCATCTCAGGGAGGTGATAGAGTACTTCCATCCCTCCAGAAAGTTCCCTTCATGCCCCGCCCTAGTCAACCCCCAACCCGTATAGACAGCCACTGTCCTAATTTCTATCACCATAGATTTATTTTGCCTTTTGGTCCAGAATGTGGACAAATTGGAGCATGTATTTCCAACCAATGAGACAACCAGTCAAGTGCTGGGCATGCAGTTTTGCTCAGGCATCGAAGCACAGAGCTAACCTCTCAGTGAGAATCCTTTCCCTGGGGTCAGCTCCTTCAAGGCCACAGAATTTTACTAACACTGGATCCATGGACCTTTTTGAAGTATAACAGGCTTTACATGATCAGATGTTACATAAGCCTGCAAAGATACAACGTAATAAGCCAAGTGCAATCAGTATTCATTAACATGTTCTTAAACAGCCTTTTCTTCCCACTGCCTCTCCAAAAAAAAAAAATTTTTTTAATAAAATAACTTAAGGGGCGCCTGGGTGGCTCAGTCATTAAGTGTCTGCCTTCGGCTCAGGTCATAATCCCAGAGTCCTGGGATCAAGCCCCGCATCAGGCTCCTTGCTC